GACCAATAATATAATTAACTAATATTCTACTAAAAGTTCATATCACAACAATATGTATAAATTATCTTATTAAGAAGATAATTATATTTTTGTTAGAAGTAAATCTCACATACATCATCTTATTAAAAAGATAATCAGTCATATAATCTCTTGAAGTTATAAAAATAAACAATTACTATGAACACAGTCACTATTATCATTTTAAAATAATTACATATGTATAATCTTAAAATGATAACAGTCTTTTTGGTACCTCCTCTGTGGAGGCAAAACTGGAAATAAATTTGTTAATCACAAAAATAATTCAAGCTGAACCCAACAAAATCAACTAACTACAAAATAGAAAGACAACTTCAAAGATTAATCAATCTTTTTATCCCATCTTAATTATCAAGACAGCAAGGAAAGAACTTATGTCAATTAATCTATAACTTATTTATTGCTGATATATCAAGAACAGATATTTCAACTAGTAAATATCAATTACAACTTTGGTTTCAGAATCACTCAACTCGTCCTACAGCTGAAATAGCCAGTATTATCCATAACTTACACGAGGAAATTACCACATTTAACCAACAGAGAACACACTATATCCAAAGATCCAGATCCAGTGCTTCAGTCAACACACCAGTCAGAACTCCCACAAGCCATAGTGGGAGTGCTGTATTATTTCCGCGTAGAACCGTCTTGGGCGTTAACAATGGCGTGGAATGAACAAAATCAACGGAATGAGATTGTGTTCTCGCCAACTGCTTATCGCCCTTCAAGATACAACGCTAACACACAGCAGGTCGAAGAGGAAGTTGTGAATCGCATATATACTGGCAATTATGAGGACACCAAGGATTTCTACAAAGATGAGGTAGAGAAACGAAAGTTGCATGACGACCTTATCGAACTGGGAACGGGCAGTATAGTGGAATCGAGCAAAACTACAACGATTACACCACCTCGCGTACTCAAAACGGTCACAGAGAGGAACAACCCAGCGTCTATGGTGGAGGATGAAGCAGTGGATGCCATTCCGCGGACGTCCGTCAACAATAATACTTACGTCCAAGCAGACAACGTGCCAGTTGTTTTGACGCAGAACTATTGGCAGAATTTGGACTTAAATGAACGGCACGCTATTGCACAGATGCTCAGAGTTCCGATGAATGAATGGGACATAGCAGATGCCAACGGTGTCCCAATGTTACCGCAGACATTCGCTCACATGGAAGCAGGTGGACGGCCATATCAGATTAATATCACGACTCGTACCGCAGTGCAATACGACGCCAATGCTCAATTGCAGAGAACAGAGCAGAAGCGTAAATTTGTGCAAATATTGCAACCCGGATTGAAGACGACCAACGAGCAAAATGTCGTTAGAGTGCCCGAGACGAGGATTGAAGAAGAATACCCGGGACGGTATAGTAACGTGCGCTTGGAAGAGAAGATTCGCGCGGCTGCTTTGAGATACATAGACCGAGTGATAGCAAGGTATAACACTCCCGTTAATACTTTGGATGTTACCAACCGAGAAGACTTGGCTGAGGTTGTAGCTGATATGTGGATTGAATTCGTCAAGAAGGTCGATGAAGAAGTGTACCTCTACAAACAGTCGTTTACATCAGTAGTGGCCCAGCGAAGAGAAACAGGAATGCACCAACCAACGGGACGGCAGACTGAGTTGGAGCACATGCAAGCGATGTTGACAGTAAGTCGCAATTTGGCAGGTGTGGATGGAAAACCTTGCTACCTCATTATAACAGCCGAATTTCTTTTATTCGACTGCAAGACGCCAGAAATTTGGGAGCGTCTGGCCCAATTTGATCAACACGTGCGCAGACTCCCATACGTGTTTAAATCACCGAGGACGATGGATCTGATGAGATCACGCATTAAGCATTTAGTCGCTCTCGATTCCCGCTATTTCCCTCATCCAGATTCATCAATTGTTAAAGAGGGAGTTCGCGTAAATCTTGTGAGAATTTTGGTTGCGCAAATACTCTACATTCTGGATACACTAATAACGCGACCATTGAGCCGATGGCCTCTTTTTATGTTATTTAATTTATTGGTCCTGGCCATGGGTATATATACCAAAAATTTATACGTTGTTATGGCATATTTCGTGGTGTTATTTCTTTTCATATTGGCTAACTTACTCACTCGTAATAAGGAAATTGGTTATCATGGGGATGATGAGGATAATGAACCCCACAATTTCCAACCTATTCCATTCGGTTTTGGAGGAATCATTGATAGAGCTCATTGGGCTCTGGTGCCTCCAACACCAACACTAGATCGGGACTGTGCTAGTTTCTATGATAGGCTGTCGCACCTGATTTGTCCACCCATTCGACCAGAGCTAAATGGGGTAGGTGAAAATCAATGGCCACTTAGACGAACTTACGATGGCTTTGGTGAATTGCGAGAGTATTTATTTTTATTGTCGGGAATATACTATTTTATTTTGTTTGTATTGATATTTATTCAAGGATTAGCCCCCTATACTACATTAATTCCGACATTTGTATATATCATTTCATCATATCTCGTCAACAAATACTGTTTGGTAGGTGTTGATCAGTTAGACCGACACTTAGCATTTTTGGTAAGAATTGGAATCAACATTCCCGTTGCGTTTCAAGACTATATGATACCATTCTTGGCAAGATGGTTAACGTTTTGGAGTCGAGAAATTACAGACCAATACGACATTCAACAATCGGAACTAGAAGTTGAGAGCGAAGAAGACCAACAATCCCAGTCTGAGGTAGATACAGGAGCTGGTGTTGTACGTCATCAAGATCAACAAGCAACCTGTGTACAACAAGGTTGCCAACAACAACCGCATGATTGTGGATATTGTATGATTCACCACGGATGCACAGGCGATGGTTGTTGGTCATGTAGAGAGTTAAATATGCCGTATTGTGGTGGTTTACAGTGCACTGGCAGTTCGCAATCAACACCCGGTAGTGTTGATAGCTTCGAGCAACTGTTGAACACACAGCAAGCATTAGCGACCAATCTAGTAACTATCAGAGGTCCACAACCGGCGACACGAGAGGTAGTTCAACAGGTTGAGGAAAATTTCTGGGTTACTATGACGCGTAGACACGAGGAGCAAAAACAGAAGATTAAGAGGGCTTCTCTTTATATAGCAAATACTATTGAGAATGGTTTCAACACTGTCGTTGAGACTATATCCACGTGGGAACCAAAGATTGTATTGTTCACATTATTCACTATTTTCATTTTGAGTGGTGCAATTATTATTGTGGCGCAATTGCCTTGGGGTAAGATTGTACATGGAACACCAGAAGCAGACCCGACGATTACTATTGGACCACCAATTGGAGACGGACCTTCAGTTTACCCGTTACCAACTTTTACGACTAATACTGAAGAAGTGGGTAAGCCAACTAGTACATCAAAACCCACGACTAGTACTGGTATCGTCGCACCAACTAATATTGTGGAATCCGTCCTGACCCAGCCAAGATAGAAAAAGTACAAGAATTCCCAGTATCCACCAATATTACATCTTTAAGAGGATTTGTAGGACTTGTCTCTTGTTATAAGAGATTTATCAAAGACTTCACCAAGATAGCAGCCCCCTTACATAAACTATTTAAAAAGAATGAAGAATTCAGATGGACAGAAAAGCAGCAGACAGTCTTTGAATCACTCAAGAAACATTTGATCTCACCATCAATTATCGCATATCCAGACTTTACAAAGCTATTTACTCTTTTTACTAATGCATCCAGACTAGGATTAGGTGCAGTACTAGCACAATATGATAGTGAAAAGAAGGAACATGTGATCACCTATGCCAGTAGAAGAGTAAGTAAGAAAGAAAGCAAGTATACAGCAACAGAACTAGAATGTCTTGGAGTTATTTGGATAGTCAAGCTATTCAGATCATATCTATTATCTGACATTTTATTCATATTCATCACTGATCACTCAGCACTCAAGTAGTTAATTAACAAATCAAATTCTTCTGGAAGACTTGCATGCTGGATAATGGCTTTACAAGAATATAATTTTAAAGTTAAACATAAATCTGGAAGAATTTATTTGAATGTTGATTCACTTTTCAGAATATCACACACATCTATAAAAGAAAAAGATAAAACATGAATCTGGACAACTATACAGAATTATATAACTATTTTAATATGTTAACAATATCTGATGAATTCTCAAAGAAAAAATGGAAATGGCTACTGGCAGAATCAAAGAAATACTTCATACAAAATTACAAACTATATAAAAGAAATAAACAGAATATTGATCATCCATTATTAGTTATCAAATCAACAGAAATAGAATCAGTCCTTTATAATAATCATTCAGATATTATCTCTGGATATTTTGGAATTGAAATTATTTACAATCAAATAATGAGAAATTATTATTGATCTCAGATGTATAGAGATATTGATGCATATATTAAAGCTTGTGATATATGTCAATGAAAAGGATAATTGCGTAAAAATAACAAAATAATATCTATTCAAGTTAATGCATCTTTTGAAAAGATTAAAATTGATTTGATAGGATCTCTCTCAGTAACTAGTAATAGAAATTGCTATATTGTAGTCACTATTAATTATCTAATCAAATGGGCTAAAGCAAGACCGATTACTGATACTTTTGCAAGTACAATCATCCTTTTTCTTTATGAAGATATAGTGATGAGACATAGATTTCCAAAAGAAATACTTAGTGATAGAGAAACTACATTCATCAATAAAATAATCAAGGAATTATTAGACAAATACCAAATTAAACACAGACTTTCTGCATCTTATCACCCTCAAACTAATAGATTAGTTGAAAGATTAAACTGAACTTTATGCATTTCATTATCAAAATATGTTTAATTCTATAAGAAAGATTAAGATCATTATCTACCTTTAGTTCTATTCACCTACAGAACAATGAAGCAAAGTACAATTTCATTTGAATTTTTTCAATTAGTATATGATTGACAAGCAATCATACTATTAGATATTAAACTAAAAGATTTTGATAATCTTACTTTTGAAGAAGTTCTCATCAAAAGAACATGTGAATTAATTGATAAACTGAAAATTACATGAGAACCAGTTCTCAGTAATATCCAAGAAGAATAATCAAAACAAAAAGAATGATATGACAGAAAACAAAAGTTAACAGTTTTTCAAATAGGACAGAAAGTATTAATGAGATGAATGGAAACTCAACACTGGCATCATGATAAGTTTGATGAAAAATGAAAAGGACCATTCTATATTCATGAAGCATATAATAAAGAAGCATACATACTTAGAATTAAAGATGGAAAGGTTTTAAAAAATCTGTACAATAATGATCATTTAAAACTATATGTTAAGTTCAATAATTTAGAGCTAATAATTATTATCAATAATAATTAAAAGATTTATGAAGTAAATCTCTTAAAGCCAGAGGTTCTATAACTAATCACCTATTTGTGTGATATAGTAGACATAGCGCAGCATATAGTACAGCTGCAGTACATAGTATAGTAATTATTAATTACTACTAAATCGGATAAATAAGTGATTTATATTAATTAATCTTATTTATAATTAACTCTATTTTTAATTTATATTATTATCCATATTTAGCCTTATTATTT